CTGCCGCCGCCGGGTCGGAGCCATCCTGGCTGTCCAACAGCCCCGATGCCGCCGCCGCCGCTGCCACGGAGGCAGCTGTACGGGACGACGCAGCTGCGGCGGCGACGGCGGGATGCACCTCGAATCCTCCGTACACGGCCGGCGCGCGGAGGTCCACCACGGAGCGAGTACGGGAGGACGAGCGCCTGCAGTACCATGTCATGTTAGGTGACTGCAACTCATCACGTCAACAACCCCAACAACAACAACAGGCCACCAAGGGGACCCGCATGCCGAGTGGCTGGCTGCTTGGCGGCAGTCACCGCCGCCGGTGCCGTTCCGGCTTTGCACCCCACCCCGATCAGGCAATACTCAGGACGAGTGCTAGCGGCGACCAGGAACGGAGTTGGGCCGCTGTCGACCCGGCAGATTCCGTTAGATGCTGATGGTGGGTGCGGAACCTGAGCGATCCACTGAGAAGTTGACTAGGGTGACTGGATGAGGGTGCCCCGAAACACCGGGGAAGGCAGGGTTTCGCAGGGTAGCTGCTACGAGCGAAGATACACCCCCCTGTTTCACACATCATACATATGTGCATCCGTACCAGCCACGCAGCCACGTGGCCGCCATGGACATTTATACAGACAAACATAGGCACACACACTCACGATGGAATAGCGAGCGGAGCGCTTGTCGTACGGCTCGCGGTTCCGGATCCCGTACCGCCGACCCCGAGCACCGCTGCCGTCGACTGTCTTGTGCCGCCGCCGCCGCTGCTGCCGCCGCCGCTACTTCTGTCCCCCGCGGCGGCCGCGTCATCGCCTTCGCCGCCCCGGCTTCCATCGTATTCGTCGTACAGGGATACACCAGCGACAGCGGGTGACACGCCAGCGGCATCCCCGACGGCGCCGGTAGCTGTCGCCGCTGCGGTGGCGTCGACAACCCTCGAGGTGACTCCGCTGCCCCCGCCAGCGCTACTGCTGCTGCTGCCGGCGGCGGCGGCGGCGGCTGTGGCGGAATCTTCGGCCCCGGCAGGTGCTGCCGCCGCCATACTTCGACCCGTGGTTGCCGTCCCTGACACTTCCATCGCTGCTGTTGCTGCCGTCGCGCCGCCGCCGCCTTCTTCCCGACCTTGTACGGCAGCCATCATCTTGTGTTGCCATGCGGGCACGGCGAATGCTGACGTGGGCACTGAGCTGGATTCTACTGGGACTGCGCGTAGGAGCCCAGGCGAAGAAGCCGCCGGGGACGATACGGCAGGTACGGCACCGCTGCTGACGCCGCCGCCAGCTCTACCGGCGCCGCCGGCGTGCCCCGCCGTCGGCCGTGGCGGTGTCGTTCCAAGCACACTGCTGCCCCCGGCGCCGCCGCTGCTTCCGTACCGATGGTACGGCGGATGGCATGGCGGCGGACGATGGTGATGGTTGTAGCTGCCGACAACTGCCACCGCGCCGCCGCCTCCGCCGCCTGAGGACCCTGGCTGGGCTTGCCGTACAAAACTTACAGGCGACGGCAGCGGCGGCGTTGACGGCGTACTGCCGTACCCTGTTACGGCAAAAGAAAGCACCATACACACATACATAAGAGCCAACTAAACATAAGAACCGTTATCCGCATCCACCCAATCTCCACTGCTGCCGCCCCCCTCTCCCCCCCCTCCCGGGGGGCGGTATCACGGAGCCAACACGCACCGGGCCCGTCGCCACCCACCCACCCACCCAGGCAACCCACCAGTGGACACCGCCCGGCTGGCAACGACAAATCCCACCCAGCCCCACCACATACAGATACAGAAACACATACAGACAGATACAGACAGACAGACACACCTGAACTGGACCTGCGGAAACCCCCCGCCACGCCGCCGCCGCCGCCGCCACCCAGCCCTCCGGGGCTCCCAAGCGGCGGCGGCAAAGAGAAGGACACCTTCATCTCCTTACTGCTCCAGCTCTGACGCACGATGACGCGCGGCGGCGCCGCCGGGCCCCCGGCCGCCGGGACTCCGCCGCCGCCGCCGCCGCCGCCAGCAGCAGAGGCTGCCGCCGCCCCCGAACCCGGCACGATACCCCCGACGCCGAAGCTGCCAGCTGACGGCGCGTGGCGCAGAATACCGCCATCTGCGGGCCGTACTGTACCGCCGTACAACATGGAACGTAAGCAGCGAGTCATCATGCACATAGACCGCATGTACGTATGTATGTATGTGCGCCCGCCTCCCCCCGCAAGAACCCTGGAGGCCCCAAACCTCAAAGCCACGACCCCAGAGCCCTGCGCCCCCAACGGCCCCTAGCGGAACTACAGCCACCGGGTAGTAGCCTGACAAAGCAATGTCCGTACATCCATCTATCCTGGCCACGAGGTTCCGCCGCACCCACCCACCCCCTCGTGGTGTGTTTTTCTCAGCTCCCAAACCCCCGACCTCGCTCATACTTGTCACCCCCATTGCCCTCTTCCCCACCACTTGTTTCCCATCCACCAGCGCACGTCACATACACACATACATACATACATACATACATACATACATACATACATACATACATACATACATACATACATACATACACACGCACACACACGCGCGATGGCGCACGGACCTGCAGGTGGACTGCGGCCCATTAGTACGGCAGTCGTAGGGCCCGACAGGCTGGTGCTCATGGCAGGTCGCATGTGCCTGTGCGTATACATGTATGTATGTACGTATATATGGGGGAGGGGAGGGAGGAGGGTGGAGACAGAGCGGTGTGTGAGTGGCTGAGCGATGGCGTGGCGATAGCGGTGGGGCGGTGGCGAAAGTGGAAAGAGAGAGAGGCGACTTAAAACAACACATGATTTACGCGATGCCAACCTTGCGGTGGATGCGGTACAGTTGTAGCGGTTGCAGTACTTCCATGCTAATGTCAGCGAGCAGGGGCATGAGGTCCATCATTTCACGTGTCGTACGCCACGTGGCAAAAACACGACATATCGGGGCCCCAGCCAAGTTGCAATCCGTGGGCCTCCTGAGTCCAATACTAGGCCCCCCGTCCCCCCCCTCCCGCCCCCCGCCCCCCACCGCAAACACACACGTCACCTGGCCGCAGCCATCCCGGCCGAAGACGGAGCGCTGGTGCCAGGGAAAGGTTGGGTCCCATAGGGCCCACGTGATCCAGCAGGGGGCCCCAATGACCCGCCGGCAGCAGCAGCAGCGGCACCGAAGGGGCCCAGGTAATTCTCGTTCAGTGTGTACGGCATCGCCATGGGTGCCGTACTGTGCTCCAGGACCAGCGCCGTCGCTGCGGGATTGTACTGCACCGCGACACGGAAGCGGCCGCCGGGGGTGTCGACGGGCGCGAAGGCGAAGTCCTGCAGCCGCGGCGGCGGCGGCCGAGGGAGGGTATCGCCGTCACCACAGAGGGCGCCGCCGCCGTCGCTACCGACCGCCTGGTGGCGGGGGTTTGGGGGGAAGGAGGAGAGGGAGGGCGGGTTCGTGTCATAGGGCCCCCCCACGAGCTCACGGCAACACGATGGGATACCCGGCCTGCTGTACGACAAGCACGAGGCAGGTGTTTGCATTGCGAGCATTGCGTCCCAAAAAGAGGCGAGTACGGGACCGTCCCCCTCCCCTTACCCCTTGCATCCTCAAATTGGGGCCAGGGGGGGCAGGGGGGAAAGATAGACGAACCACGAACCCGAGTGAAGCTGCTGCCAAGGAAAGAGTGTATAAGAAGCAGAACTGACCAGTAGGCGGTTTTTTTCAAGGAGGCGACCTCGGGATGATGTAATGATGACGACGACGCGGAAACCTACCTACCTACCTACCTACCTAGCCGCCAAGACTAAAATAAGGGCGGAAGAAAAGCAGTAGAGCGAAGCCGTAAAGAAAAGGGGGGAGGGGGGAGGGGGATATGCGGAGGGGCGTTGCGGTCCTCAACCCGACCAGGCGCTCAAGCGAAATCCCTTCCCGCCGTACCCGTACCTGCTGTAACGTGCGGTAGATCCTGTACTGCAATTGGAACTGGAACTGCTCTCCCGCGCTCCGCTGCTAGCCGCGCCAGGTGGTTGAACCCAAAGAAACGTGGGGAGACACGTACATACATACACACGTACATACATACAGAAAATGCCGGCGAAGTACCGGCGGGGGCCGTCCGTGCCGGCGGGGTCGGGGGAGGGACGGGAAAAGGGGGGAGAGCGGGGGGGGAGAGGGAACCAGTTTCAGCAAAGTAAAAACGCCGACAGCGCGATGATCCCTAGAAAACATACAAAACCACATATGTGTACGTATAAACATACATACATACATACATACATACATAACCGCAATCCAACTCCCAGCCCCTACCGGCGATTAGCACGACAGAGCGCAACTTGACAGACTTACCAATACACATCCCAACACAAAGCACTACCCAACACCCCACAGCACTTCAAGTCCCGGGGGGGCCCCCCGCGGGCCCCCCACAACACCAAACACACACGGGGGTTTTCCAGCCCGCCGATGCGCAGCCCTCCTTCCCCCGGCCCTTCCGCAATTCCCCCGTCAATACACACACACACACATACATACATACATACATACATACACACGCACACACGCCCCTCCGCTACCTTGGCCGTCCTGAATAGCCTGTACGCGGGAAGCACCCGGGCGAAGCTGTACAGCGAGCGAACCAAAATAGTCTTCACGGCCCGCGGGGGGGGGGGGGAGGGGAGGGGAGGGGGGAGAAAAAAGGTTTGGGACGGATCAGGCGAACGGTGAACCGAAAACGAAAATGCGTTGTGTGTGTACGTGTGTGTGTACGCTGTGTGTGCACATATGTGTGTGTATTTGCATCTTTTGGGGGGTTCACGTGAAGGGGAAGGGGGGGTGCACGGGGGGGACCTGGCGCGACGTCGGGGGTACTCGGTGGGGCGATTAACCCCGGGGTGTGTGTGTATGCTACAGCCCCAACAGCACGGACGTCGACCGCCTCCCCACTGCGCCCTCCGGCCGGCCAGGTTCAAAGCAGCCCCCCTCCCCCCTTTATTCCGGCTTCACGTCAGCAGTTTTTTTACTACTTTTCCGCCGCCTCTACACCTCTACCTTTACTTCTTTACGGCTTGGCATTACTGCTTTTCTTCCGCGCTTCTTTAGTCTTGGCGGCTAGGTAGGTAGTTGTCCGACCTGCTCATGCCCTCTCATGCGCCCTCTGTCCCGACCCCTCTTCTCTCTCTCTCTCTCTCTCTCTCTCTCTCTCTCTCTCTTTCACTCACACACACATACACACACATACACACACACGCGGAGCCCCCCCTCCTCACCAGCCGTTTGTACACTGACACGTCATCGAGGTAGGTCCTCGTACCGCTACTGCCGGCGCCACTAGTGCTGCTGCTGCTGCTAACAGCGCCGCTACTGCTGTCCGCCATGCTGTTGCTACTGCCAGGCAACGGGCAGCTCCGGTCGTACTGCAGAGTCCAGCGCTCCAGGGGGGTGGAGAGGAGCCCACCGGCTGCTGCTGCTACGGCTGCTGCTGCGAGGAGGAGGAGAGGAGGAGGGGGGAAGACGAACCACAAGCGAGTGAAGCCGGGAGGGAGAGGAGGGGGCGGAGGAAGCTCCGTAACTAGGGGGGGCCATAACTCGGCCGAGTGTGTGCGTGTGTGTGTGTGTGTGTAACCCCAGCTCCCTCTTCTTTACGCTCTAAATCGCTAAGTGAAAGGTGTGATGAGGTGAGAGGTGAGGAGTTTGGGGTTTTTTACTCATCTCACCTCCACCTCCACCTCCTCCGGCGGGTAAGCAGCTGCCGCCGCCGCCACTGGGGCCGGCCGCGGAGGCCGCCGCCGCCGCCGCTAGGGCGGCCGCTACACCGCCCGGCGCCATGTGGATCTGCATGTATGAAAGTACGTATGTAGGTACGTAAGTATGTACTACGTTTACACGTATCTATGTGTGAACGTACGTACGTACGTACTTATGTATGTGTGGCAGAGGGTGAGGGCTAACGACCGTCTAAGTGCCTTACGACGGGTGTACGGCAATCCGGAACACACGTGCACAAAAACAATTATGGTGGCGAAATGAAGCAGTGGTGGTGGTGGTGGTGATGGGGTGCCGGGGGAGCCGCCGCATGCGTGTTGCTGCTGGGCAGCTTCTGTGACGGCGGCGATGTGGACGGAAAGGCAACATGATTTCTCATGCGCCTTTCCTTCCACGACTGTTCACTGCCCTGCCGCCCTGCTCCGAAACCACCGCTCGAAGGCCTCAATGACGGAGCGCACGATAACGTCATCCATAACACAGGTGTTCGGGGGAGGAGGGCGCGGGTCGGCCCGTCGCCCTCATCGAGGAGGGCCATCCCGGGATGGGAAAGCGCAGACCTAGCCGGCTGTACGATGTTCGCCACTGTTGTTAGCTTGCCGTCAGCAGCAGGTGTTACATAAGACATGGGACCACTGCCGAGAGAAAGAAGCTTCCTTACCTCAATTACAAGAGGCGAGGATATGTCCTTGCGCCACACCTCGACCTCTTTGCCAACGCCATCCACTTCGTCCAGTTCCAGAAGAAACTGTGAAGGCCCAGAGAGACGAGGCGTTGGCCACTGAATCGCTGGTTATTACGGCTACTTACCGCTGGAACGGTCATGCTTGTTCAAGGCATTCGACTTCTTGAGGCCTAAGAACGTCGTGTAATATTCAGAAAATTGACTCACCCAGCGCCCTGCTCGTTTGTCTCGAGCGGAGCGTCCCTGCTGTTGGACAGGGCCGTTGGGCAGAATCCGCGAGCCAAGGATAACTTGTCCACATTTCACGAACGCTTCACCTATATAATGCTCTATTGTGAGGCGGTCCGCCATGACGCTGGCGGCCGCCTCTTTAAGCTTAAAGAGGACAACCCTACTGCGTCGACGTGGCTAGGAACGCAAGCACCTCCAACTTAAGTTTCCACTAGTGTACGCGTACAATTCCATACATGATGCAGAGACCAAGATATTGCTTTGGGCCGAAGTGCTGATGCCATTTTTCAAGACCGCACGATGAGATCCAAGCGATGACGTGCAGCTTTAAATAGCCCATGCTTGCAAGACTATACCATGCCATTTATTCTTTCAGTGGTTTCTATGTACTTGTTTCAATTTGGGTTCTCCTCCAATTGGTGTCCGAAGAGCTAACTGTCTGCCAACGAGCATTTTGAGCTTCCTCACCCCACTACGTTGAAACTCAGCAAATAACACGAAAATGCAATGTATATTCTGTGGCAAAGCTAATTGGATTGAAAGAGCCAGACCTGTGCCATGAGACATCCAGTTTGCGCTTCAACAAACCAGCTCCGTCTCCCAGGACTTCAGTCTACATGTAGAACGGATATTGGATGCTTTAATCTACTCTTCCTTGGTGGAAATGGCGCATCCGGCAGAAGCACAGCGGCTTGCGCCGTAGCCCATTCGGGGCGACGGCGTCACACGAAGCAACCCGGGCAAAGCGCGGAAGCACATGAAAGGCTTATTTCCACGAATATTCCGCTCAGCGCCAATCACGCTAAAGCCGCTCCCGTAGGGCTTTCCGGCGCTGCTGCTGATGCCGTACACTTCAGCCAGCATAGTGGCCTTTCAGCTGACCATGTGACCGAGAACCCCCAAGCACAGCCCGATGGACGTGCTGGGTCCCCACGCGGCGCCTTGCGAGCGGAAGGCGCAGCTGCTGGGAAGAAGCCGCGCCGCTCCAGCACACGACGACAGACAGACGACCTAGATCACCCTCCCTCGAGTGCAAGAGGCAGCGGCAGTAGCAACAATAGCGGTAGCAGCAGCGAAAGCCACGTTTTGGGCAAGACCACCCGCCGAGACAGCCGAAGAGGGGAATCAAGTGACGAAAAAGAGTTTAACAAGAACGGCGGTAGCATTAGCAGAAGCAGCAGGAATACTCAAGTCGGCAGTAGCAATGTAAGCAACAGCAGCAGCAGGAATACCCAAGTCGGCAGTAGCAGCTTTAAGGGGCCCAGGAAGGTCCGCAAAGCCAACGACGACGGCACCGGCCGCGGTCCGCCAGGTTGCCTTAGCTCCCTGTCGCAATTACCAAGTGATAAGGGCGTCGAAGGAGGAATCAGGCACCGAGAAGGATCAGGAGGACGAGGAGGAGGGGGAGGAGGAGCAGGAGGAGGAGCGGTAGCATCAGCAACAGTAACAAGAACCCTGGCTGTTGACGGCGTCTGGAGACCCGTCCTGGATTTGCTGCAGCGGCAGCGGCAGCGGCAGCAGAACCAGCACCAGCACCAGCGGCTGGGAGCTGGCGGCGGACAACAAAAGCGCCGCACACTGTCGAAACCACTTGGAGGAGGCATCGGCACCAACACCGCCACTGCCGTCCTTGTCGTCACGGCACTGACGTCACCGCCGGCCCGCGCCGTCGCTGCGGCGGCCCGCTCCCTGGCGGCGGATTATGCGGTTATTGAAGCCTTCAACGCCGACGGCGGTGCGACGGCAGCGGAGGCCGTCGCCGCTGTCGCGGCGACGGCGGCCGCCGCTGCCGCTGCCGTATCGGAACCTGAAGGGCAGGTACCCGTACAAAATATCGCACTGGGCGAAATCCCGAGCTCCGCTTCGGGTCGTGATGCCGCCGCCGGGAAAGCATTCGGGCGCCGCCGTCGCGGCGGCAGCAGTGCTGCCGACGGAGGAAATGCCCCTACCTCAATTCCCCACGGCGACACTGCAGCCGTCGCGTCTGGCGCCGCCGTCGGGTTTGCCCCGCTGTGGCCGCTATTGCCGACTCAGCTCATGACATTGGCGAACGTTGGCGGAGGCGACGGTGACGGCGGCGGAGTTGATGGAGATGATCAAGACCCGGCGGTGCTCGCGGCGGCGACCATCGTTTTGGAAGAGGTCTCCAGCTCGATCCTCAACCACGGCATCTACCCCGTGCGCTACGGCGCCACTAAGCTGCGCACAACCATTCGCACCGCCGCCAAAACGGCGCAAGCTGCCGCCGCCACAGCAGCAGCAACAGCAGCAGCAGCCGCAGCCGTCCCAGCAGCCGGAGGCGTAGCCGTGTCGAAGACAACAGAGGCGATTGGATCCGCCGCCGCCGGCGACCGCCAAACAGCTGCCGTACTCCAGGCAGCAGCGAAGGCGATGGATCAGATGGAGGAGCTGCTGCTGGTTCCGGAGGCAGTACGCCTTGCCGTACAGGATGCTGCCAAGTTCGATGCACGGCACCTGAGCGGCGCGCAGGTGGCGGCAGTGCTGGCGGCGCTGGGGTCGTTGGCGCTATCCCTGCCACCGGACGCCCGTGCCCAGCTGGCGGCACGAGCTCTGAAGCTGCTGGCAGCGGGCCACGGACCCAATCAGCAACAAAGTCCGCAGCAGGTGCGGGGGGCTCCGACGTCGGGGCCGCCGCTGCCGCCGCCGCTGGCGGCGCTCCTGATGCTCCTGCTGGTCACTGTGCTGCCCCAGGAGCTAGCGCACCGTCAGGTGCGGTGGCTCATGTGGGGCCAGCTGCGGGAGATGCTGCTGCCGCCGTCGCGAAGGTGGCGGCAGGGGCAGGGAGATGCAGCTGCGGCGGCAGCGGCGGCGGCGCCGGTGGCAACGGAAGCGGAAGCGGCGGGTGTGGCCATCGATTATGGTGCGGGTACGGCGGTGCCGGGGCCGGCAGCGGCGGAAGTTGCGGGGAAGCTGCCGCTGGTGGCGGTGGCGGCGCTACTGGTGGCGGCAGACAGGTTACAGGTACGACATGACGTGTCGGTATGGGTGTATGTGTACGGTAGATGGTAAATGGCGGGTTGCTTAAGCAGCACGTACGGCTTCTGCGCGGGCGGCTATGGCGCACATCTCTCCAGGTGAATGTAGCACCAGTGGAGCGAACGCAGCACCCGCAGGAGTCGAGGTTGTACCCACCATCACGACCATAACATCGCCGTCATACGGCTGGATGGTACGACATGTACTGCCCGGTCTCTCCCTCCGCGGGGAGACGCGGGGAACGGGGGGCTGCTGCCCGGGGCCCCGAGGCCTCCGGCCTTGCGCCGAAACCACACTCGAACGCGAAGCAGAGAAGCTGGGGTCCCACGGGGCGGGGGTTGGGGAAAAGAATTGTTTGTTTTTGTGTCTCGTTGGGGTCATTCAGAAGATGAAGGTGAAGGGAACTTAGGGTTTTTACCGTAGTTGCGATACAACTTGCGTGACTTCGTACTGTTGTACGACCCGCGCACGTGAGAAATTTCCCCCTACGTCGTTCCCGCATGAAAAGCTGCTCCTTACGTAAACCTCCCGCACCCCCTCTCGCACCGTCCGGTACCTTGCCGTACAGGTGCTCCTAAATGCCTCCGACGTAGAGGAGGCGGCTCTTCAGCGGTTGAGTCGTAACGCCCGCCAACTGACGGCACGGCAAGTGGTGACACTGCTGCGCTGCCGTACAGACAAACAAGCGATGCTGGGGAGCGACGTGCTGGCCAGGGTGCGCCTTTGTGCGTATGTATGTATGTATGTATATGTTTGTATGGTTGCCCGGCTCAGTCTTTTTTTCCGCAGGACGGCTCTCCCCCCGTCCTTCCTACCTCACCCCGCGGTGGGGGAGTACCCCCCCCCCAGGTAGGGCAACCCCTTCCCCCCTCCGGTCTTGGCCCGCGTGTTCCCACCCGTGTCGCCCCCAGTTTGTGGCACGGTTGTGTGCCGCTGATGCTGGCGGCGGCGGCGGTGGTGGTGGTGGTGGTGGTGGCGGTGGTGGTGGTGCGCTGCAGTTGTCGGATGTGGTGCCCCTGTTGGGGTTGCTGGCGGACCAGGTCTACCTGCTGGAGAGGAGGGAGCTGGCCAGGATGACGGGTGGGGTGGGGTAGGGTGAGGTGGGGTGGGGTGGGGTGGGGTGGGGTGGGGTGCCTGGGACCCTAGGAGAGGGCGGGTCGGCTGCGGAGGTGCCCGGAACCGACATCCCCGGGGGGCCCGGGCCCCCGCCTTGGTGCCGCCAGCATCTCCCTGTTGTAGCGCGTTAGAGCGTTACAGAACTTAATCGCTGCGTGATTAAGGCACGACTTGATAAGACTGAGCTACGAACAGTCTACGAATATCTTAGAGTTCAGACGTGCTTCCTTACCAAGGAATGACACGCACTTGAGATACCTACAGACTCATCGGTTCGAGCAACCAATGTAGATCTGAAGAGATGTCGGACAATAGAAGTTGTTACGGCCTCCTAAGCAACGAGTATTTATACTGGGAGGAAGCCTGGGGGAGATATCTAACAAAATACCAATGGGAAGGATTCTAGAAGCCTACGCTTCTAACGCCCCTTACTCAGGAACGAACCCAGCCCTTGACGGAGCGAATCCGTCCTGTAACCTGTCGGCTCTCGCCGCTATTACGTGCTAACACTCCCCTACCTACCTACCTACCTACCTACCTACCCAGGCTAGTGGCCACGGCTGAAGATATAACCCCCCTTTCACACAGTCATACATACATACATATATACATATATATACCTCGCTAGCTAACTGCTTCCTACCTACGTGCCTGTTTCCTGACTTGCTGGCTCCAGGGGGGATCTTCCAGGCGATCACATCGGCAGCTTCCGCGGGGTCGCTAGTCGCCGTAACTTCCACATCCGCAGGTACGGCAGCTGCTGCCACTGACACTGTGGTTCGTCTGGACTGGATCCAGCGGAATCCAGATCGGGATCCAGATCTGGATCGGGATTGAGCTTGTTTTGTTATACAGTTCTGGTAGGGTAAAGTGTTATATTGTTTTGTTATACAGTTCTGGTAGCGATACAATCGCTCGTTTGAATTATAAAGCACTTTGAAGATTTTTCACTGTCGCTTACAAATTTACCCAGCTCAAATTTTTGACATTCAGGTGCTGAACTGCGCCGGCTGGCGGCCCTGTGTGGCGAGTTGGAGGTGGGTAGGAGGGTGCGTGTGTCGTACATCTCGGGTACGGCATGACGGGGTTAGGATTGATTGACACGGGGGCCCCGTGTGTATGTCGGAAGAGTGGGGGGTCAGCTTGACATCGTCCAAGCTGGGGTAGGGACGGAACACGACACGTCGTCACACAGATATATGCGATTAAACCCCCCCTGCAGCTTGCTGTTTTGTTTTCCCCCCTCCACCGAGTAATCGTACACACCCCACCACACCACACCACACAACACCACACAACACCACACAACACAACACCACACAACACCACACCACACCCCACCACACCACACAACACCACACAACACAACACACCGCACGGCAACAGCATGCCGGTGGTAGCTGGGGAGCACCTCGCGCCACCCCCTCCTCACCTCACCTCACCGCACCTCACCTCACCTCACCTCACAAGTAGTGATACCCCAACCCTCCTCGATATTCCCGCCAAGTGCCGCACTCATCTAGCCGCCTCGCTGCCGTGTCATCCACCTCCTTGTCGAAGATACTGTCGCATATTAGGACAGACTGACACTGTCAGTCTGACAGACAGACAGACAGACAGACAGGCTGACGTATTGGCAGATAGACGGGAGATGTGCTTACTTAACTCTTTTGCATGTCTGTGTGTCATGCATGCCCATGTACGGCCATGTACGGTCATGTACAGCCACATCTATCGATGTACTGCTGTAAAAGTTTGTGTATGCATGTATGTATGTATGTATGCATGTATGTCCATGCTGGCAGCCGTTGCTGGGGCGTTTGCAGCTGGCGTGGGCGGATCCGGACCTGCTGCGGGAGGTGCGGGACGAGCTGGCGGGGTTTGCGGCGTCAGGGGGGGCACATCCGGAGGCTGCAGTGCAGGTAGGCGAGCGGGCTGCGTGTGGGGGGAGCCTGTGTGTGTGTATGTATGTATGCCGGGTAGGGAGAGAGAGCAGCGCATCGCTATTAACAGGCATGTATGTATGTATGGGGAAGAGGAATGGGTGTCTTTGTGTGCCATACCGTGTGCCACTGCCTTCAGCACCCTTCGTTCATGCCGCTTTCCTGTACTGCACATGTACTGCATATGCACTGCACCTCACGTTCGGTACGTCCAATATCCTCCTCCCTTTTGCTCCGACCCCCCATCCATATGGTGCCATATCGTATGTCATACATTGTACGTCGTATGTCGTACGTCGTATCCACACAGCATCTTGAGGCGGCTGATGTCCTCCCCCAGTCCCTGACCCCGGTGACACTGACCTTGTCAGCTACTACGTTACAAGTAGTCCCCCAACACGCAACCCCCCCGCCTCCGCACCTCCTTCCGCTCTCCCCACCTCTCTGCCTGGCCTGGCCGCCCTTCAGGCCTGGCGGGCTCTCCTGCGCAGTCCAGATTACCGCCGGTCGGAGTACGGGCGACTGGTCCGCGGTGGTGGCAGCCCCGACGAGTTCATTGATGCGGCGCGGAGGGAGCTGCTGAGCCGCGTGGGGGCGGGTGGGGGGGAGGGGAATGCGGACTGGAGTGGCAGTGTGCTGGAGGTGATGATGGCGACGGCGGCGGCGGCAGGGGGGGAGCTGGGAGTGGATGTGGGAAGGGGGAGGGAGCAGGAGGCTGGAGAGGAGAGGGCAGGGGGGCAGGGGAGAAGGGGATCGTGAAGTACCTTTAGTCGTGTGTGGGTTTGCGTATATGGGTCAGCGAGGGGCAGAGCTGGGGGAGGAAGTAGGTGAGGGGGGGGGAATTGCAGCGAGGTGTATTGGGGGTATTGACAAAAGGGAAAATGGGGAGCGGCTGCAGGGTTGGTAGTTTGGCGGCTCTGGGCCAGGAAAAGCTGGATGGTGGGAGAGGGAGGCAGCAGGGTTATGAGCAGGGGGCGATAGTGCGTGCAGTGGGCAGCTGCAAGGGCTATATGGCTGTTAGTAAAAAGGTGGCTGGTAGTAAAAAGGTGGCTGCGAGGGCTGGCTGCATTAGGGTGCTCGGTCGTGTGCTGCGCGATGGTCGTGTTACATAGCGCAGAGGTTTTGGCCTAGTAGTATCGATTGGATACTTGCATATTCATTCCATAATCTACTAGGAGATGGCTGGGATGGTTCTTCTTCGTGGGTTGATCCGCGACGTTGGTCGGGAGCGGGCGATTATGGCTAGCTCATGAGATATGTAGTCAAGGTCACAGTCGATGGACTTAGGTTTGCACGCTGGATCGGTGATGATTGCCGAACATTCTATCTCTACGGATGTTCGGGTGACTGGATGAGGAGGGGTCTAGGGGTCTAGGTGGCAGCATCGAACTGCCTTGGACTATCAGTTCGTGGCGAAGTAAATGTCGTCCATGTCCCCCCAGGCTTTAACGGAATCCCCCGCATTCGTGCGAACTTGTTATCTGTAGTATTTAGAAAATTTACCGGCTTGCGCTCTACGGGTATGCTTTGCATTACATGGCCGCATTTCCACCGTCTTGGCCACGGATTTTCATGCGGGGGAGGAGGATGTGTCCAGTGTTGAATCTTTGTGGCCGGGAATGGGAGACCTTTGCTGCATTGTTTTGACGGGGCATGTAACCGTTATTAACCGTTCACAACCACGTCCTGTACGAACTAGCTTAAAACACTGTTGACATGTCTTCATGAATGTGAAACGCTGCAAGTAGTGGCTTATAATACGTATATGATCTCTTGGAATCAATTCCTATCTGGTGGACCTGCGAGTACATGGCTGACATTCCGCATAAGTCGAAGCGAAGGCTATTGGAGCCGCATCTTAGTCTTCACAATTAAACGTAGCAAGCTATATACGGCATAAAATAAAAGATTCGACCGTATGGAGGCGATGTATTTCGATGTTTGTTCCTAAGCAGGCAGGCCACCTCTACCCTACTTCGCAGTCCGATGGGTTTCTTGACTTTATGGACCTTTTAATTGTCCGATATGCCATCCACAGCGCCAAGCGACTCTCGTTCCAGTCGCAAGGGACGTCCCGGCAGCGATGCGGGTGCCATCCTTCCTGCTATTGCGGAATCCTCGCTGGTGTTCCCTGGCGACGCCCGTGCGGTCTATGAGGGGGAAATTCTATCCAGGCCGGGGCTCCAAATTAGCAGCCTTCCGAGTCAAACCAGCCGCTCGGAAGCATGTCTTGATGAGATGACACCCCCACAGCTTGTCACCGTCGTCATGCCCACGGACGCATCCGAAGGCCAATTTGTGGTCCGCGGTGATAAGCCGCGTAATGGCGTGGTCTCTGTCAGCTTTCAGCGCCTTGAGTCAGCGCAGAGCGAGGTGCTGGACACCCGGATTTCCGCAGCGGTCAGCGCACCAGATTCTTCAACCGACAGCGCAGCGGTCAGCCGGGGCGGCAGCAGCTGGTGGAAGGTGGCCGAAGCTTCTGGAGAGGGCATCCTGCCGCACGGCCGCACCACGGATCTCCAGCTTCACAAGCCCGAGGCCTCGGACTTCCTGGACGAGGAGGCGGAGGTGCTGCGGCTTTCTCAGTCCGCGGGATTCACTGCTGAGCATGAAGCGGTGAGGCGGGGAATGAGGGGAAATGAGTCGACAAGCAGGGGAGGGAAACCCGAGAGGGGGAAAAGGGAGAGAGAACGAAACGAAAACCAAAGGGAAACGGAGGACCCGCCTGGAGGACCCGCTGCTCCGTCCTCCCCTGAACCCCTGGTCGCCGCAGTGCATGTGGCGGTAGGACAGCTACCGGGGAAAGGGTGGCGGGGGGGGGAGGGAGGAGGCCGAGGGAATGGGAGAGGGGATGTGGGTTGCCCAGATGGGAAGCAGGTGGACAGGGGGTAAGGGAGAGTGACCTGTGGGTGTGCGGGGGTTGCTGGAGGATCCTAGATATGGTGATGCTGCGGGCAATTGGAAGGGAAGGAATGATGAGGTGTTAGACGCTAAGCCAGATGCGGAGAGAGCTTGTCAGCGCCGGTGGTGGTGAACACGGTGGTCAGAAACCGCTGGAATGAGTGCCTGGTGGTGGACAGTGCCGTGAATGGTTTACACACCGGGCAATCCACGCCTGCTGCGGGCTGATACGGCACCTATAACCTGGGTATACTCGTGCTGCTTTACACGGGCTCACCTAGAATCCTAACCAGCTCCTTTCCGGGCGGGACACCAGTGCCGTACTGACACGCATCCCGTACCTTCTCTTTCTCTTCGTCCCCCTCTTACCCCTCTTACCCCTCTTACCCCTCTTACCCCTCTTACCCCTCTTACCCCTCTTACCCCTCTTACCCCTCTTACCCCTCTTACCCCTCTTACCCCTCTTACCCCTCTTACCCCTCTTACCCCTCTTACCCCTCTTACCCCTCTTACCCCTCTACCCCTCTTACCGGGGGGGGTGACATTGTATCGCGCCTGGTGTCCCCGCTCTCCCTCCCCGCCCACCCGCTCTGCCCCCGCCCACTCCCCATATGCACACACACACATACACACACATACACACACGTGCGCGTAGGACCCGGGCTTCACGCTGCTGCACTACGTGGCGCTGCTAGGTCACGGTACCCTCGCGGATGCGCTGTCCGCCACCCGCCGCACCCACCATCGTTTCGCGCGCCTGGCCGAGTGCCTGATCAGGAAACATAACCAGGCGGTGTACGTGACGGACAAGGTGAGTGTGTACATGTGCATGGGTGTGTGTGTGAGTGTGAGTGAGTGTCCGTGTGGTTTTTGAGGCGGTGTAATGTGAGCCGGCCCTAGTGAGCCGACAGGGCTGGCCGGGGGCAGCTGATCAGGGAACGGATGTACATACGGATGTGGGGTCGCAATCCAGCGCAGGAGTAGCGGGCAGTAGCGATCCAGGAGGTGGGGGGATGTGTACGGAAACGGCTGCGGGTTGCGGAGCTGGGTGTATGCATGTGCATGTGCATGTGCATTTGGACGTTGAGGATGATGGGCTGGCTGGTAGAGTCCCTTCATCCCTCTTCGTCTGCTTCACCCTCTAGCCTCTGGGAGGCACTCAACACTCCATGTGGTTCGGCCGTACATACCCCGTCACATGAACTGAGCCATCCACTTCCAGGATCTGTTGTTTATTCCTCTCTTTCTTCCCTCCCGTACACCCTGCCTTGCAGTACGGCTGTACCCCTCTTCAGTTGGCAGCTGCAATCGGCAACACGGAAATGGTCAGGGTGCTGCTGGAGCCGTACGACCTGCCCGCTGCGAGCAGCCAGGTGCTCCCCTCCTCGGACAGCCGCTACAGCTACCTGAATCACCAAGACTACCAGGTGCGTCTCAGGATAGACACGTGCTACTGCTACTGCTACTGCTATTGCTACTGTGACTACTGTTGCTACTGCTGTTGCTGTCGCTGTTGCTAAGTACTGCTGATTGCTCGGGCTGCCTCAGCTCGCGTCGTTACATTCCTCTCCCCTCGGACACGTGTGAGCACATGCAACCTTCTTTCTCTCCTTCGGCCCCTGTCCTGTCCTGTCTTGTTTTGTCTTGTCTTGTCGTATCTCGTCCCGTCCTGTACGGCCGCTGATCAACCTGATGCGCTCTGCCGGCTCCTCCGCGACAGATCCGGTTCAGCTCCCTTCACGGTGCCGTACATCACGGTCAGCACGAGGTGGTTATTCAGTTGCTGCGCCACGGGGCCAACCCCCAGGTTCTGGACAACACCAGGCTCCCGGCGTTCAAGGTAGGGTGGAGGGCTGGAGGGGGGAGTGGGGAGGAGGGCTGGAGGGAGGAGTGGAGAGGGAGGGCTGGAGGGGGGGGTTGGAGAGGGAGGGCTGGAGGGGGGAGTGGAGGGGAGGGCTGGAGGGGGGAGTGGAGGGGAGGGCTGGAGGGGGGAGTGGAGAGGAGGGCTGGAGGGGGGAGTGGAGAGGAGGGCTGGAGGGGGGAGTGGGGAGGAGGGAGTGGAGGGGGGAGTGGGGAGGGAGGAAGGGAGAGAGGGAAAGAAGGAATGAGCAGGTAGAGAGGGAGGGAGGGAGGCGGGAGGCGGGAGGGAGGGAGGGAAGGAGGCACCAGGCACGAGGAAGAGATGTGTAAGAGAGGCTTGTAGGACAAAGGTACACTTGTTGTTGGCCAAGTCGTCGACGAGGTCGGGATGCATTTGGGCCCTATGGTCAGGTCTGCGCGTGGGACAGGCGTCAGAGTTGAGGGGTTCCCTTACCCCGGCTGCCAGCCTGGGTGTGTGCGAGGTCCAGCTGGCATTTGTCCCTCGGCGTCCTGTCCTGCCAAGCAGAGCGGGCGGCTGCCCAGCCTTGTGTCGGGGCGGTGGGCCTGGCTGCTTGCCCAGATGGCACCCGGGGACCCCTCCCTCCCCCCTCACACATTTCCTTCCTCTTCCGCGTCTCTTTTTCTCTCTCTCCCGCTCCCCGTCCCGGCTGGCTAGGTCCCGGCAACCTCCCACAGGGGGCCATGGCTCAAGAAGTCCATGTCGCGGCGCGCTGGGGCCCGGGAGCACCCGGGCCGGGGGGAGCACCCGTCGAGGGGACCATTGCGACCGCCCACCTCCCTCCCTCCCTTCGTGTCTTCCCTGCCCTGCATGATTGCCCCCCTCCCGGCGGTCCCTGCTGCTGGCGTGGTGGCTCTGTGTGTGTGTGTGTGCATATTACACGTGCCTATCTGTATTTCTGTGCTTCGACTCTGCCTGTGTGTGTTTCTGTATGTCTATACGGTTGTGTGTGCGGGGGTGTGCGGGGTGAATGCAGGTGGCGCCTTCCGTGGTATCGCTTCAGAAGCTGCTGCGACTGGTGCTGCGGCATGCTGATAAGGTGCCGGTGAGTGCATCTGTGTGATCTTGTGTCTGTCTGTCTGTCTGTCTGTCTGCCTACATGTTCGTCTGTCTGTCTGCCTACCTCCGCCTCCTCCTCCGTCTACATCTCCAGCTCCACCTCCATCCCTCGCCCATGCAGACTTGACAGCTCGCCGCGCGTCCACTCCCCGCAGTCCCCTGCAGGGCCTTGTGTCCTTGTGCAGCCGTCAGGCCCCCCACAGAGTGCCCCGCGGCGCTATTTGTTGAGGATTCATCAAGTAACGGCCGCGGGACACCTCAGAGATGTGCTTTGCTGGTGTCGCGGGCCACTATATTGGGCCCTGACGCCCCATGGTCTGCCCCCGTCCTCCCCTGCCGCCAAGCCTGTCCAAGCCCTGCCTTACGCACACAATCACCAGCCTCCCTTCACGGCACTACTCACCCCACTCCGCCCCACCCCACTCCGCCCCACCCCACTCCGCCCCACCCCTCCCCGCCCCACCC